GCCCCGACATACAGCAGGGATGGGTATGTGTGCACATATCAAAGTAAGTGTACCTCCTCCCCAGCATGCGTTGATGCATGGCTGTGGTCGGGTCCATGACGCCAGAGGCCAACATGGTATCTGCAATGTCGCTCTTCACCCGCCTCACTGCACACATTCCGTTCGTGGAGGCCGTGAACATGCCCTGCACACACGGCACAATCAACACTGGAACGGGTCCTTCCCACCTCCCTCTCTCTCTCCCTCTCTCTCTGTCTCTGGCTGACCTGCGATGCATTTCTCAGAGCAGGGGCACGCTCAAACACATGGGCGTCGATGCCACGACATCTGACACACACACATACACACAGAGACCATCATCACACAGGAAGAAGGGTATCTCTCCCCTCTCCCGGCCACACTCACTCACCTCAGCCCGGCGCACAGCAGCAGGCCGCCAAGCCCACCTCCGACAATAGCCACGTCCACATGGGTCGGCAGTGGCTTTGCCGCAGCCGACAGAGGCCGCGACACTCCCATCGTCGATGGCCGCAGCACCATGTGCTCCAACGTCGTCCCACAGGCCTGCACCAAACAACCACACCGTCCACGCAGGAACGCAGGCGGACACCATCTTTCCCAGCCCGCCACCTACCTGTTGTATCTTCTCGCATGTGGCTGGTGTGGAAAGTTCAAAATGGCCCGTGAGGCCTGCATCGATCTTGGCGCTGCGGACGGCCTCTTGGATGGCGATGAAGACGGATGTGCTGCCGAGGAGGGGCGGCTCGCCCACCGCCTTGCTGCTCGCGAAGCCCTGGGGATGGGAGGTCTTCTCCAACAGACGCACGCGGATGTCACTGAAGCACAGAGAGAGAGAGGTGTACATGTTTGTTGGTGGTATGTTGTGTAGTGGTTAGTGGGGGAAGGGCGTACGTTGGGATGTCGCCGGCGAGTGGTGGTTTGTACTCCCACGTGCCGTCAGTGAGGAGGCGGCCGGTCGACTCGTCGATGACCACCTCCTCGCTCGTGTGGAAGCCAATGCCCTGTAGTGCATGTCACAACATGCCGCAACACACCGAATGAATGCGGCACAAGGCACAGGACATGTGCTCTCTCTGTGTATGACGGACGTACCATGACCAACGCGCCCTCAGCCTGCCCGATGTCAATCAAAGGATTCAGACTCCTGTACACGCATAGCATACTCTCTCCCTCCCTCCCGCCCTCCATCCCTCCCTCTCGCATACTTGCCGCAGTCGTAGAGCATTTCGCAGTAGTGGATCCGCCTCTCCCCGGTCAGCACGTCGATCTCCACCTCACTCACGGCCGCGCCATAGGTGTCGTAGAACTCGACCGGCTTGCCGCTCAGGGGCTTGTACTCGCCCTGCTGCTGCAGGCTCACCCTGGCCCCATCAGCTGCTGTGATGACCTCTCGCCACCTGTCCGCCACACTCGCGTCACCCTGTCAAACAACATTAACACACATGAAGACAGTGCGATGGTGTCAGTGACGTAAGGACACACCCACCGGTCTGCAGAAGGGCATGAGTTTGTCCACGAGCTTGGTGGCTGCGTCGTGGATGGCCCAGCACATCCTTTCTGATGCGGTTGAGCCGGCCGATGGGCCGGGGTTGGGCATGAATGCCGTGTCTAGGTCGGCCATGCGCACCAGGGAGGTGGGGAGCGTCTCGCCGCACAGACCCATTCCCAGGGTCTCGCACGCGGTCTGTGAGATGGATACACACCACGGGCGACAGATTGATGGACGTGTTGTGTGTGTGTGTGTGTCTTTACCTGGACGGTTTTGATGGAGAGGCCCTGGCCCATCTCCACCCCCTCATGATGCAACACAACGCTGCCGTCCTGCATCCAGGCACCATAGACACACAGACACACACGCGAGGCATGCAGACACACCAGTGTCCTCTGATATATGCACCTTGTAGACGTTGATGAGTGCAGTGCTGAAACTGAGCGGCCGGGGGTACCGCAACGTCGTCATCGCCAGGCCCCTCTTGCGCCACCGGTTGGCGGCGTTGAACCGCTCCACCTCACTCTTCCGCCCCTCCCACCCACTGGTGGCCTTGAGCTCCTCCCATATCCTCGGCAACACATACGGCTCAGTCAGGGTGCGTGGCGCGGGCATCGGGCGGCCCATCATCGAAACGGACGGGGGGCACATGTCTGTTGCCGTGGGCGAGTAGAAGTTGGTCTCGCGGACGGCTGATGGGTCCAGGTCGAGATGGTGAGCGATGCGCTGCAGCACCGACTCGATGAAGGTGGACGCCTCGGGCCCTGAATGACGAACGAACACGTGGGAATGTGTGTGTTGGGGCGTGTGTGTGGGTGGGTGGTGGCGGTTACCTCCTGGGCCTCTGACGGGAACTCTGAGAGGGAGGTTGGCCGTGTACATCTTGGTGGCGACGTGCAGGTGAGGGATGCTGTAGGTCTGGTCCACTGTCTCGGTCGCCTCCTTGCACCCGATGATGGCGCCGCCCTGCGTTACGCCACACACACAAACAGAAGGAATCGTACAATCGGCCTACGCATGCTATCGGCATATCAGTGCACCGGCACGGCCCCCGTGATGGCGTGTATGGTGGCCTTGAGAGCGTGGATGCGCCCCTTTTCGTCCACGGCAACAGCATACTCAAACTCCATCTCCTCACTGACACCAAGACACAGACATCGACACACACAACGATCGGCATCGACATCAGTGCCTCTACCGCCGGGCGTGGTGATAGTTTACGCACCGTCCTCCGGTCATGGCGCAGTCCTGGTTCCGATTGAGAACGAGCCGCACCGGGCGGTTGGTGGCCTTGGCGGCCACGGCCGCGTTGACGGCGTGGGGGATGGACAAAAAGGCCTTGCCGCCAAAAGCGCCACCCAGACGACTGACAAACACACAGACAAGGGGATGGACAATGGTTGGATGGGGTGTGTGTGTGTGTGTGAGGGACTTTCGCTCACCGAATCTTGATGTTGACCTTGTTGTGAGGGACATTGAGAGCATTAGCCACGCCCGCGTGTGTGAACTGCGGCCCCTGTGTGCTGGACCACACTGTCATCGTCCCGTCCTCGTCAGGCACCGCATACGCCGCCTGTGGCTCCATGTAGAAGTGCAGCTGGCTCCCGCACTCAACTACACCACGCAGCACGTGCAGACCACCCTCTTTCGACCCCTCTGCCGCCAGCAGGTCGTCGAACTGCGAGACGTCGCCCTTCTTGGCCTCCATGGGGATGGGTGTGAGGGTGCTTGCTGCCTTGGCCTGGGCGAGTGTGACGACAGGCGGCTTGACGTCGTCCCAGGTGAGCTTGACGAGCTTGGTGGCCTGCTCTGCTGCTGCGGGCGCGGTGCCGAGCACCACGGCGGCCGGCTGTCCGAAATACTTGGACCTTCCACCGATGGGCACCATAACCTCGATCAGAGGCTTCCCTGCGACACACAAAAACACATGCATCCCTTCACCTAATGCGTTTTGGTGCGTTTTGGTGCTGTGTTGCGTACCGAATAAGCAGAAGGTGTTGGTCCCAGGAATGTCAGCAGCGGTCACCACCTTGACGACCCCTTCCACCCTCTCGGCCACACTGCCGTCCACGGCCACCAGCCTGGCGTTGCCCTGGTCGCTCCCGACGTACACGCCGTACAGCGCTTTCTTGCCCACACCGACGTCGCCGGTATACCTCGCCTCACCGCTCGACACCAGATGCGCGTCAGGCTTGGGCAGTGGCTGCCACAGCACCGCGCCACACTTGCCATCCGCCTTCTTTGTCTTCTCGCGTCCGTCTCTCTCCAGCTGTTCGGTCGACTCATCGACGGGAAGTACTTTGCCCATGGCGGGGTGCGATGACGGGATGGGTGGGGTGGTGAGGGACAGCTGTGGCTCGGCCGCCGAGAGGATGGACTGTGCGGGTGCGGTGGGGTGGGCGTCGGTGTAGGTGCCGCGGGCCTCCTCGGCCGCCAGCAGCACCAGGAACTTGTAAAGGTAGCTGCCGATGAGGGACTGGCGGAACGAGTGACGGTCGAGGGAAGGGTCGATCGATATCTGAGCAGGACACACACCACGACGGCTCTGTATCCACACACATCCACACCTTTTGTCGTCTGCTTTCTTACCTCTGATGTGATGAGCTTGACGGCCTCTCTGACGGTCTCGTCGGTGAGGCCATACGTCTTGAGGAAGCTCTCTGTTTTGACGGCCCGCTGCGGCACCGCCCCCACCGCCCCCACCACCAGCCGCACCTCACACGGATGACGCACGACAGGGTCCAGCTCCATCCAGAAGGCCGCATTGGCGAAGGCGTGGGCGTACCGCGGCCGCATTGACGTCCTGTACGAGCGGAAGAGGGATTGTGTGGCGATTTCGTCTGACGGCAGGGGGATAGAGATGGACGGCACGATGAAGGGGTGGGAGGGGGGAGTGGTCCAGAGGGACTGCAGGGGGAGGGTGTGAGAAGTCCCACTGGATGGGTCGATGTACTCGATGGCCGCCTCCCATGCCGTCAGCAGGGGGGCGAGGTCGGAGTGGAAGCCTTTGTGGTGCACCAGCATCAGGTTGCCCGCCACGCTGCCCATGTTGCGGACCTGCTTGCTCGCCACGGCATGCAGGTGCGAGATGAGGGGCGTCAGGTGCGACTCGGCAAAGTGCCGCCCATCGCCTCGCGCCAAATCCTCCAGCGCCTTGACGAGCGTCGACACGCTCACCCCGCCGCCGGTGCGTATCTCGCCCCCACCGTCCCTCTTGTGCGCCACCGACACGTCCATCAGCGACGCAACGCGGTCGAGCGCAATCACCGTCGCCACCGTGTCGTTTGTCCGCCAGCAGGATGACGGCGGGCCGTCCTTATAGATGCCGACAGACGTGTTGCCGAACACCAGACGGACGTTGGCCGCGCCGTCCTTCTTGGCCTGTTGCCATATGGTGATGGCCTCATCGAGTGTCGCCGGGCTGTGCCAGGTGACGCCCATGCTGCTGGTGAATAATGAGGACGGCAGGGGGCCGGTGAGTGCGGGTGGGAGAGCGGGGGTCGGCCATTGGTGGGGAGAGGTGAGGTCCTCGATGTCTGACAAGCCGATCGACGACAGGTGGGGCGGCGCGTCCTTGCAGAAACTGCGGCAGACGTCCCACAGAGGGCGGTAGCCTACATGCAGATGGAGAAACCATCGAACGATTGACGCACCCATTCCGTCCACTCACCGGTGCATCGGCATATGTTGCCATCGATCTTGCCCGCCAACTTGTCGCTTGTGAGCTCCCCATCCTCCCCAGTCAGGGCATCGTACAGGCTCACGACGAACCCAGGGGTGCAGTAGCCACACTGCGACCCTCCCAGTGCCTGCACGCGGCGGTGCAGCACCGCCGGGCCATCGCCTCGCTGCCCGTCATTCTGCAGGCCATGTGCCGTCGTGATGGCGCACCCCTGGACGGAGGGGAGGGGCTTGAGGCATGAGAGGGCCGTGTGGCGGTGGGTCTGAGAGGTGGCGGGATCGAGGCGCTCCACCAGGACGGTGCATGCTCCGCAGCCTGGCAAGGAGAGAACACAGCATATTCATGCGTATGTGCCTGGCATGCCTGTCTGCAGGCGTGTGAGTGCTCCGTACCGCCCTCAGCGCATCCGATCTTGACATTTGTGACATCAAGTGTGTCCCGCAGGTAGGCCGCCAGCGACACCGAGGGGTCCACTTCATGTGTCGGGATACGCACCTCTCTGCTGTCCACAGTGAAGACAAGATCACCTCCTGCCGATGGCGCACTGGAGCCGGGCATGGTCGATGATGATTCACAAGACAGATGCTATCTCTGTTTTCACACTAAGCTCGCCAACTAGCCTCAAAGAATCCATCGCCTTCGAGTGCGGCAGCGAAGAATGGTGAGTGCTTGACTAACAGGTCCTGCACACGCACACAGGTCCAGCAGAGGGAGAGAGCAGCACATGTCCACCATGCAATTCCGTTATGCACCAGCGTTCGTGGTGCCACTCGCTCTTTTTTCTTACCTTCTTCTCGTAGAATGTTTGTTTTGCCTCTGCTGTTCCAACGACTATCCTCCAGCGACGCCTCTCCCATCCACCGCACTTTTTTGTGACCGTCTGCGGCCCGTGTGTTGTCTGTGCACGTCGGATAAATGCTGAGATCTCCGATTGTTGCGCTACTTTTCGGTCTGCTCGCATCAGATAGCGGCGTAACAATGGCAACGAACGAACGAACGGCAAGAAGAGATCCTCACTCTCAAGCTCGCACTGGACGTCCGGACGGCGCTTTTTGGTTTCTTGGCGCGGGGGCTCGCACTGGATGTGCAGCAACGCTTTGTTGGTGCCTTTTTGCGCGGTACAACAGGGACTGCGTCAGCAGACGGCAGACAGCAGAGATCTGTCATCAATCTGCCCATATGATCATGCCGCGCAGTGTGCTCAAGCTCTGGCTCTCTGCAGCCCTCTTTCTGGTGCCTCCGCCCGCCACAGCCCGCCTGCTGTCGCCCGATGGCGAGCGATCCTTCCTCACGACGCGTGGGCCTCGCACGAGGAGATGGGGCTGGAGATCATGGGCCTTGACCTAAGCCAACCACTGCCAGGCAAAGTGAAGAGGGAGCTGCGGAGACTCATCCACGAGTATTCGGTCCTGCTGTTCCGCGGGCAAAACCGCACATGCCACCATGGTGAGCAGACACTCTCACGCAGGCACTCCTAATGGTTCGAGTGCTGGTGTGTGTGTTGGTGCAGAGGCGGATTTCCTGCGCATTTTCCCCCACAACGAGACTGCATACGAGCTGGGCGAACGAGGAGCAGGTGTGTACGTCTGCACACCACGTACCCATGCAGGCAGCCAGCCACCCAGCCAGCGTGTGTGTGTATGGTGTAGGCTCCACTAGCAATCGTATCGGGGGCATTCTGGGCTGTCCGCACACCGTCGCTGAGTTCAAGGCGCCTTATAGGATATCGGAAGACGAAGAACGGAATCGGAAGTACTGGTTCGGCCACAGCTGGCACTGTGATGAGGCCTTCAAAGCGGTTGCGCCTCCCCTCTACACCGCAAGTAGCAAGAACAGAAGCAAAGGGCTGGTTAAGGTCTCTAGCTGTGGATGTATCTCCTCTCCTCTCCTCTCCTTTCTTTGGGTGCATTGCTGCCTGCAGTTTCGATGAAGGTAGCCGCCGCCACTGGCGGCGAGACACTTTACATCGACTCGCGCAAGGCCTACGAGCAGACACGCCGAGAGCTGAAATCCATCATCGACAAAGCACGGGTGGGTGAGCACGGATGATGGACGAGTGGACATGGGAGTGTCGCCCTTGTTTCTGTCTGCTGCAGCTCGAATACTACGTCATCGATAAGAAGTTCGGCGCAGAATTGCATGACACCGGGAGACACCGAATGGATAACATGACCAACGCGCGCCTGAAGGCCATGCAGTCGGACTTGCCAGCCATCCCGTCCGGGGTACACCCGCTCGTCACTCAGGTATGGTCAGGAGTGTGTGTGAGATGACGAGCATGTCCGGTTGATTTGGCTGCTCTCATGTCCAACCATGCGGTGTGTACTGTACAGGACCCTCGCACTGGCCGCCGCTCTATCTATGTGACCCCTGAGGCTGCGTATGCCTTCAGCGGCTACACACCGCAGGATACGCACCGCATCCTCCACGAGGTTAGTGCAATCCGTTGACGCACACACTTCTACGCATGCAAGGCAGATTGATTGGTACGCTGATCAGGTCCTGTCACCTGCAATCAGTGCTGAAAATGTATACGTCCACGTAAGCAGTCGTCCATCAGCACACAGCCGACACAGGGAGCTTGGATGCATGTGTGCCGTGCCTTCATCGCGTTGTGTGTGTGCACAGCATTGGCGAGCGGGCGATATTTTGGTGTGGCCCCAGCGTCAGGTCATCCACAGCTACACGCCCAAGAGCCGATACGAGGGCCGAGAGAGGCACTTTCACCAGCTCCACGTGCCGGCACACCTTCCCGTTTTCCCAGCCACTTAGAGTGGGGGCATACACTGTATTGATGCCATTGGGGGCTGTGTGTGCGCACGTTTGTGTGTATGGCTGTATGTGTGTGTGCACGAATCACCACTTTCGATGGTCGATGGTTCCTTCGGCCATCCAGCCGATCTTGCGCAGTTCTGTCTTCCTTGCCCCCTCCCTCTGTCGTTGTGGATGTTTTTATGCAGTCTACCGCTCATAGTTTCCCCGGTCGGTCTTTATCAGTGATCCATCCATTCGGTCTCTGTGTGTGCGGAAGGGGTGGCTTTACGGCAGGGGATCGATGCATGCATTTTGCCTGGATGCCGGAGTGCTATCTCCGAGTTTTGTGTGTGTCGTCGAGCGGGTGAGTGTTTGACTGCTGACCTGTTCTAGCTGCCTTACACCGGGCTCCTTGTCTGATGGGGAAACCTGCCTCGTCTGTGTCTGTCTAAGTGTGTGTGTGTGTGTGTCATGCGAATGCGAGGCTCGAAGGCCACCCGAGCCTGAGCCCGTCTGTGTGTGTTCTCTCTCTCTCTCTCTCTGTGTGTGTGTGTGTGTGTGTGTGTTTGTGCATGTCTTGCTGGCGTGCCCTATTTTGCTACATGCTGTATGTGGAGCCAGTGCACCATCGATCCATCGCCCTCTCGAATGTCTGTTTGCAAACGCACATGTCAGCCAGCAGTTTGGGGTGTTTTACCGCCAGTTTGTTTTGTCCCATGCATTGCATTCATTGATGGGTGGATGGGATGCAGTCTGTAGTGCGTGCGTACGTTTGTATGACCATCTTTCTCTCATCCTGGCACGGCGAGCAAGCAGGCAATCCGGCAGGCAGGCAGGTAGGCAGGTAGGGAGGCACAGTGGTGTTTTGTGTCTGGTTGTTTGCTACCAGTGGGCTCTTTGCCATGGATGTGAGTGGTGTCAGTCACGTGTGCGGAAGGGACCTTAATTGCGTCACCTTTGTCCTAGCATGCACCTCTTGCGCCATCGACCAGCCGCCCCTAATTACTTGGGGCGTTTTTGCGATGAATGAATCTTTCCTATGTGGCGAGTGCGTAGGTCGGTTGCTCCATGCTGCTGCCTGAAGTGAAGTGCGTGCTAATACTGGCACGAGTGTGTCAAAATGGCAAGAGCTCAAAGAGCTACTGGCTGCGTCTGTGTGTGGCTGTATGTGTGTGTGCACGAATCACCACTTTCCATGGTCGATGCTTTCTTCGGCCATCCCGCAAAGCATCGACCATCCCGCCGATCTTGCGCAGTTCTGTCTTCCCCGCTCCCTCCCTCTGTCGTTGTGGATGTTTTAGTATGCAGCCTACCGCTCATATTTCTCCCGGTCGGTCTTTATCAGTGGTCCATCCATTCGGTGTCTGTTGCGCGGGAGGGGTGGCTTTGTGGCAGGGATGGATGGATGCATTTTGCCTAGATGCCAGAGGGCTATCTCCGAGTTTTGTGTGTGTCGTCGAGCGAGTGCTGACCTGTTCTGTCTGCCTTGCACCGGGCTCTTTGTCGGATGGGGCCCTGTGTGTGCGTACGTCCGTGCGTGAGAGAGGCGAGGGGGGCTCTGTGTGTCTGTGGGGTGAGTTTTGTGCAGTCCGTAATACGCACGTTTGTGTGACTGTCTTTCCATCACTCGTGCTGGCAACCAGGCAGGCAGGATTGGTATATGACGTGTCACGTGTGTGTGACCTTCATTGCTGTCAGTGTCCGTTGAGCTTTGTCCGCCGTGCGATGTGACCCAGGGAGAATGGCATGTTTATCCTAGCACCTGTTGCACCATCGACCGGCCGTCTTACCTGTGGCGTTTCTGTGAACGCATCGCGGCAGTCAAGCTTTTGTAAGGGCTCAAGGAGCTCTCCATGTGTCGGCTAATGCAGCGGCAGGTGTCCGTGTATATGTCGGCTAGTGATGGATGAGTCTGCCTGCCTTTATGCGCAGGTCGGCTCTTGGGCTGCTGCCTTGCGGTTGGGTGTTGTGAGTGCCAAACGCTTCAGAAGCTGATGAGTGCGTCTTTTATGTGCTTGACCCTCGTTTGCGTGTGTGTGGATATGGACATGGTGGAGTGAGGGCAAAATGACGTGAACCAGCCGACCACAGTCCTTCTCGCTCCCGCAATCCAATCGCCCACCCACCCATACCACCCATACCACCCCTCCCTCCCTACCAAGGGCACGTGCGCACATGTCTGTGTGTGGTCAACACACGTTGCTTCCCCTCGACTGAGAGGAACGACACGATCCGTTGTGTAGAAGGGGAAAGGCTGCACTTGTGGCATGGTTCAGTGAACAGGCTGTGTCTCCGTGTGTTGAGGCGTAATTCGTAATCTCGCTCGAGGATGGATAACAAATATGTTCACTCCGCATGTAGGGCGGTCCGTGGCACGAACAAGAAGGAGTCGAATACGAATCGACACAGACCCCCTACCACCCGCTACCCCACACACCGGACTGACCAAACTCCCTACCCTCTACACTCCCTCCCTACCCTCCTCACCCGTACCCCCCTTTAGTAGCCCATGAGCACCTGCACGTCCCGGCAGGTGTCGCTGAGGCGCAGCCGGCCCAGCGTGCAGCGCAGGCCGTTCTCGGTGGCCGTCTCGATCAGGTGCTCTAGGAGGTCGTCCCCGGGCTGCAGCGGGTGGGTGGCGAGCAGGCCCGCCCCGACGTGGTGGAGCTCGCCGTTGGAGAAGTCGTAGTCGGCGGGCTGGCTGGGCACCTGCGCCCCGTTGGCAGCGGAGACCCGCAGGCCAAACAAGGCGCACCGCAACCCGATGCAGTCCCGGGGGTGTGCGTAGAGGTACGACACCTTGCGGACGGCTTGGGCAAAGTGAGCGCTGCACACACGACACATACACAGAGAGAGATGCCGTGACATGACGATAGTGACATTATCTCCATGTGTCTCCCTCCTCGTCAGTCTTACGGATGGCGGCAGGCTTGGATGACGGTCCGAATCCAGGCCTTGTACGCCGCATCCGCCCTGCTCCGGTCGATCTTGTCCCGAGATCGGAGCCGTCGCTGGGGCACTGTGAGGCCTCTCGTGTAGAGATTGATCCCCGCTCCCCGTAAGGCTGCCGCCTGCGCGTTGTTGAGGAGGAAGAGCGCTTTCGGCAAGGCAAAGCTTACGGGGATGAGGATGTCGGCGCCGTTCATCATGCGGATCCACAGCCCGCCCGCCGCCCGTCGCCACATGACCGCGCCCCTTGCGTTAAGCATGGGCTGGTCGGGCAGGCGGGCCAGCAGCAGGCGGGCGATGGGGACCGCTACGCAGCAGAACCACACGTAGAGCCGCACTCGTACTGATGGACAAACAAACAGGGAACAGTCATGCGATCACTGGTTTTGACCGACATGTGTGTGAGGAGTGAGGTGGTTGAGGTCTCCTTACACTCAGGGCAGGGCTGGGGCGTCCACACGTGACATATAGCATTGATGAAAATCCACTCATAACTGACACAAAAAGACAAAGAAGCAGCCACACATAATTGACACAGCCTAGCTGTGGTCATCCTGTCCGTCATTGTGTGTGTTGCCTTCCTTCCAGTCCGCGTTGATGCCCACGGAGTTGTTGTGCAGCTGGAGGTAGCGGACTATGAAGGGCAGGTAGTACCATAAATGAATTGTCACGTGCTGCCAAACAAACACACAAACACACAAACACACAAACACACAAACACACAAACACAAATTAAACAAATTAAACAAATGATGACATTGTGTTGATGCATTTTGCATGCATCAATGTGAGAATGCATGTAGTGCAATGATGCATCACTCACTTGGTTGGTGTAGTGGTGGCGTGCACTGAAATGCAGCAGATGGGCGTACAACTCCCGGTGGTCCGGGAAGATGAGGCCCGCCACTGACCACACCCCAGCCACCAGGATCGGCCGCATATTCGGGAACGCCAGGCTTCGAAACCGGCAGCGCTGCACGATTCTCTTGGCCTCTGCGGGAGGCGGCATTGTGGCGGCCTTCTGCGGATGGGCTGGTAGATGGGGGGAGGGGAGAGGGGGGGCAGCCTTTGATAGGATATCAGCAAAAGAGAGAGAGAGATGGGATGGGCGAGGATGCAGGATTATCAGAGTGCTTGAGCGGCGAATGCGCAAGCAGCGAGGGGTGGGCGAGGGCGATCCATCATCTGGGGGCCAAGCACGCACAAGGAAGACAATGAATGAGACTGGCTGCCTGTCTGGTGGTTCTCACGTACGTCTGTCACGTGCTTCGTTGGCGGTTTTCATCTCTGCAATGGCTGGTTCACTAAAGCGGGAGCGCTCCTGTGAGTGAGTGGTTGGATGAGGAGAGAGGTCACCAGTACGAGTCAACCAACCAGCAATGAGTAACTGAAGGCAGACACACGTGATAGGTGGCGTTCAACGGTGGCTACACGACTGCAGGAGACCATCATTGCAGGGTTGGGTGTCATCCACACACTCATTGATCAACACACACACAGATTGATTGTCCATCCTATCAATCACACACGTACTCATTGATCCATTCATTCAGTCACTGTGTGTCTGTGCTTTGCTTTGCTTCCCTCTCTGTGTCTGTGTGCTCTGTACGCAGAGCACTGTTCACCTGCCAGCTGCTCGATCACGGCTGCTCAATGCCTTGCTTCACTTCCCATCTCTGTATTGCGTCGATTTCGTCGCCTCAACGTCACAAGCAGCTCGAGATCTGTGCGGAGATGATGTGTACCTACCAACGATCCAGCCATCCCGTCATTCATCGGGTCATTCCTTCATTCGCAGCAACAAAAAACAGCAGCGATCCTGTACGGTCTGTAAACGACTGCATTTGGCGTGTGTGCAGGAGAGGACGTTCACTCCTTCACAGGGTGCCTACACATACGTACGGTGTGGTCCGATCGCTTCGGAAGGCGTCCTTCATCATCGCATTCGCACACGGTACGTATTGCTCATGAGGGAGGGGAATCTCATACGTACTGCTCATTTGGAGGTGTGCACTGTGTGTATGTGTGCACGTGTGCAGGCGTTCGTCACGCGAGGAGGCGTTGGTTCGATGTACAAAACGTTCTGCGCAGGTGGGGGGCACAGATGCGTCACTGTGCATTGGACGTCATTCCATGTGTATATGCATGCATATGCGCAGGTGCGAGGCGGCGATGTGTGCCATGTATACGTGTGAAGCGTTCCGTCGTGATCATTGATCGTTCAGGTACGTGCACACACCTATCGGATGCCGTACGATCAATCTGCACATACCCCATGCATACTTGTTGCTTGTTCTGCAGGTCTTCCCATGCGTGTGTGTGTCGGCATGATGGGGGCCATCTGCGCGTAGGAGTGGGTGTGGGAGGAGGGGGAGGCGACGCCCCATGCGCGTTTCGACCCCGTCTGTGTGTGTGGACACAGGTTCAAACCTCTCAGTGTGACGTGACAATGCTTGGCGAGACTGCTGTGCCACACATGGCTTGGTGAGCGTGGTGGCGGGATGGGATGGGACACACTTCAGGAGGCTAGCTATGCCCATGTGTCATACACACTTCTGGGCGAGCGAGGATGCGCAGGCGCGAGTGACGGTGATGCCCCTCTTCGTCTGCGCACAGCAGAACACAGGTGTGTATGCACACAGTGTACGTACGGCGATCTGTGTCTTCAAGATCGGCGAGGGGGAGTGTGGTGTGGGTGCTCACAACACACCACACTCGCTTACATGAACGAAACCACATGTGTGTCCTCATGTGTTATACACCCAGACGGGGGGTTAAAATGAGACTGGAGTCGTTGGAGACTGTGGCGCCTCTCTGTGGGAAGCAGCGAGCGAGCGAGCGAGCGAGCGAGCGAGGGGTGATTCATGGTTGTCGGTCTGTCTTTGATGGATGGTATGGTGTCTCTGCGATGAGTGGAGAGGCCGCTGTGGGATGTGCCGATCGCTGCCTACGTTTTATATCTGTCGAGTTTCGTTCGATCCAGATTGATGCGATGCGTTGACATGAGAGGTTGTTCAGCTTGACGTCGGGTTGTAGATCAGTGAACATTCACACGATGTCATTCATACGTGAAGCTTCGTACATCACTCGCTGTCTGGGAGCCACACGCATGAAACCGGCAGATACACCCAGTCAGTGGCAACACTGATACGTCCATCCATCCATCCATCCATGTGTGCATGAAGCCAGACAGAGATGTGATGACGGCCTACACTCTATCGTGATAGGATCGTCTTCCTTATGGTTCACGCAAAGGCATCGACACGAACCGTTGCTGAGACATATTCTTGTCCATCAGTGGATATTTACACCAGTTTCGCATGCATGATGACAGAAATCATAGTGCCAACACAACTCCACCCACCCATCCCACGCCATGTACTCGACTGACACGAACCCACATAGAATAGAGACACGTGTACTGTCCCCCTGGCTGGCTGGCTGGCTGGCTGGCTGCTGGAAGTCTAGGTAGCCTTCCCTGCCAGTGCCCATTCCCTGAGCCGCCTCACGCCCTCATGAACATGCACCCGTCCCTCATACCCCAGCTCCTTCCGTGACACGCTGTCATCCACCTGCACGCAACGTACACAGAGCGCACACGACTGACTGACTGACTGACATGTGTGTGTAGGTGTGCTCTCATATGTGTTTGTTTGTGGATGCAATGCACACCGTGAATGGCCCCTCGAGCACGTGCCGTATGACCTCCATCTGTGTGCCCCTCCTCAGCAAGCGCAGTGCGCTGCGCCATCGAGGAAGGTTGGGGGCCTTCCCGTCCTTGTAGAGGGATGAGGGCAGCGCATCGAGGTCCCAACCAATGGCAGACATCACTGCAGTGAAGAACTCCCGCCACCTGCATCGATGCATCCACGACGGGAGAAATGCTCCGCGCGCAGGTTGGTGGGAGGGTGGTCGGGCTTTTGCTCACTCACTCGACTGGATTGCCATCGGTCACGTGATAGGCTTGGCCTGACCTGCAGGGCAGACACACGGCCACACCGGGACGCACGCGGGTCGGCACATGAGAGACTGGTTGGCTGACCGTCCATTGACGCAAGCTTTGAGCAGGCCCTCGACCACGTTGCTCACATAGCAGGTGGACTTTAAATATCGACCCTGCCCTGCCCACGTGTGCCGTCCAGAGGATACCTGCACGCACACGACAGGCGCGTGCAGGTGAGTGATCTACACACGGAGGTTGGCAGCTGTACGTGTGGATCCCTGACCCCGTTCCCCTAACCGTCATATTCCAAACTCGCAGCAGGGAGGTGTCATTCGGGCCCCACACGATCGGTGGCCGAAGCACTATGCGCGTCATGTTTGAATCAGATGCACCAAGCACCATCCTCTCAGCCATCTGTGAAGACGCACATACACACACACACACACACATACACACACACACACACACACATGCGCACATTCAAAAGACTTCCCGCACGCCTTGCCTGCTTGGACTTCGCGTAGAAGTTGAGCGGCCTTCTCGGATAAGGGCTTCCCTCGCTGATATTGCGGTACCTCTTGGCCAGCCAGCGGCTCCTCGCATCGAGGAAGACCAGCGTCGATGACGCATAAATGAATCGTTGCACCCCCGCTTTCTCGGCAGCCTCGAGCAGGTGGCGCGTCAGATTCACAGCGGGAGACTCAAATGCTGACCAACCCTGCACACCAACACAGCACATGCATGCATGTGCTGTGTGGGGTTGTGCGTGAGTGCTGCACGCACCTGTTCGTCCGTCAGGGCCACATTGGCCGCCAAGTGGATGACAACGTCAACACCGTCAAGCGGCTCATCCATAGCACACGCCTCAGCCCCGAACCTCCTCACCTTCTCCGCTGCCTCCTCGCTCCTCACATACGCCCGTACCTCCCCCACACGCAGCCCCGCCCCCTCCTCCCTCCTGCCCTCTTTGATCGCCTGCAGGGCCTCGAGCAGATGCTGACCGACGAACCCAGAGCCGCCAACCACACCGATGCAAAGGCCCCTCCCTTGCTGCTGCTGCTGCTGCTGCTGCGATAGTTGCTGCGGCGGCTGCTGCTGGCTTGGAGCCCTGCTGCGTAATCGAGTGCATTTCTGGTGCTGCAGCGGTTGAGATGGGGGTAGGTGGACGCCCAGAGATGGCAGCACGAACAGGAACGTGCCCAGAGGACCCATCTAAGTGAGGACGTTGCAGTGGAAAGCTGCTTGTTGGAGCGGAACCCGGTGAGTGCGAAGCTGATTTTCTCTCAGATCCCCGTCTGATTCATGTCCACTAGACACAGGGAAGCCCTTTTCTGTCCCAAATCGCTCCCTTTGCCTCTGCCGATCCCCGAAGGAAGGAGCGTTTGAAGGAGTCAATGGTGAGATTGCCCCGCTTCTTTCATCGAACACAAGCCAATCTTTCGGACTTTTCCTTTCCAGTATCCTGCCTGAGTCTGTGCGTGTGTCACGCGCTCGGAGGGCCCATCCACCGTCTGCAGCCAGCATTTTCTGCGGCTGACATCGGTCCTCACACACAGGCGACACGAGGGCTCGCAAGCATGGCCGCATTCACCAGCAGAACGGTCGTCAAGGTCAGTCAGCTCAGGCAGGCAGCGATGTTCACTCACCCGTTGATTGTGCAGACCGTTCTGAGCCGGGAGCAGAGTGAGGGCATGGGCGCGCGCGTCAGAAGGAGCATTGGGAGGTGAACGGATTGACAGACACACCGAACGCATCATCTGCCACACGTGCTTTTGTGTTGTTCTGTGTTCTGTGCATATGCCAGGCCCGAGCTGCCTCGTTTCGACCCATTTCTGTTGCTGGATGAGTTCAATGTCGGCGCTCCTGCCGGCTTCCCCGACCACCCACACCGGCAAGTCGAAAAGAGGAGGCAGACAAACGACACATGACACAACCACACACGCACATGTGTTCCGCTCGGGCGTGCAGTGGGTTCGAGACGGTGACGTACATCTATCCCCACAGTGAGGGGACCTTCCAACACGAAGATTTCTGTGGACATAAGGGCACCATTGGTAGCTGAGGGCAGGCAGGCAGGCAGCCGAATGAGCGCCCGATGCATGTGTGTGGTGTGTGTGTGTAGGTGCGGGTGACGTGCAGTGGATGACTGCCGGCCGTGGCATCGTCCACGCCGAGATGCCGCATGACGAGCGCAAGTCGCAGGGGCTGCAGCTGTGGGTCAACCTGGCGGCAAAGGACAAAATGTGTGAACCTGCATACCAAGAACTGACACACAAGTAAGCCAGCCAGCCAGACAGACAAGTGGCAGCTCCAGACAGACATACACACGATACATGGCGTCCTGATCTCCCAGGGAGCTCGCGGTGGCCGAGAAAGAAGGCGTCAAGGCAAGTGCCACTCATGACCTTCTACCAGATGAAGCCAGCATGTCTGTCCCTGCAGGCCATCGTCATTGCCGGTGAGGCGCTGGGCGCCAAGAGCCCCATCTTCACACGAGTGCCGACCACCTACATCCACCTGATCATGCAGCCCGGCGCCCGGCTCCAGCAGCCGCTAGACCCTTCCCACAACGCCTTCGTGTACACCATTCAAGGCATCCTCACCATCGGCGGCTCAGATGTCGGCCCTCACCACACGGTCGTCCTGTCTGCCGGCGACAACACCGACGGTGTGGAGATCGTGGCCGGGGAAGCCGGGGGCCAGCTGGTGCTGCTGTCCGGGCAGCCGATAGGCGAGCCGGTGGTGCAGCACGGGCCTTTCGTGATGAATACGGATGAGGACGTCCAGCGGACATTTATGGACTACCAGCTGGCGCGGAATGGGTTTGAGCGGGCCAAGGGGTGGCAGTCGGTCATCGGGCTGCACTCGTGACTCAGTGAGTGAGTGGGTGGGTGGGGATGGTTACGTGCAGACGTGAGTCAAGTGAGTTTGTGAAGTGGTCTTGTGGTTTTGCTCGTCGTCGAGAGGGCGAGGGGAGGGGAGGGGAGGGGAGGGGAGGGGCTGGCCCGATGGACCAGCAGCATGTGGGTGTACATATATGGAATGTTCCTTGAAGAGTATAATATACTCGAGTGAGTCGGTCGATACGTCAGTCTATCAAGGTCACATTATAAAGAATCACGACAGCCAACCAAACAGCTCAGTCAGTCAGCCAGTCTCGCTATCTCACCCACCCCACCCATTCACTACTTCACCACTCACGCAATTCCCCGACGCATCCATCCATCACAGGGCCTTCTCCCTGTCCGCGGCCGCCATCTCCAGCCGGTCAAGAGCCGCCTTGGCCCTCAACTCACGATCTGCAGCACCATCCACCCTGTCCTTCGTCTCCTTCTCTGCGCCACCCTTATCCCCTCCCTCCCCACTGCTGCTGCCGCCCCCGCCCAGCCAAGCCCCGGCAGCGGACCACAGCAACGGCCTCTTCTGCTCCTTGTTGGTGCTGGCGGGCTCGCTACCGCCTCCCAACCGAAAGCCTTCGCCCTGGAACAGGGGCTGGCTCGGCTGAGAGGCGGCGGATGCGGCCTCGGCCGCCGATTTGTTCCTCTGCTGCCGGTCGAACTCGGGAGGCAGGAGGCAGGAGCAGAACTGACCCCACCATGCCAACCTGCACACGCAGCGGACACCGACACACGACACACGAAACACAGAGAAATGATTGGTCAAGTGCCGGCGTGTGAGGTTGTGTGTGTGGGGTGCGGACCTGTTGATGGAGGCGGGTATGCCTCTCTTGAGGACGGCCTTGCTGAGCGCGTCGCTGAAGTGGTTGCAGTTGCGGCGGATGAGGTCGTACTCGTCGGATTTGAACTCCAGCCGAAGCTGGTCTATCTTGGATGTGATCTCGGAGCGCGACAATGTGGTCTCCCCCAGCATCATGGAACCCCGGAACCGGCCGTCAGGCGCTGTCTTGGGCACACACTCATACACGCCTGCAGGCAGGTGCCAATGAACGGGCAAACCGACCATCAGTGGCCGTCCGCACACTGAGGAAGCGGGCTCTTGCTCAGCGTGGCGTTGCCAGTGCGCTGTCGCTAGGTACCTGCTCCGTCGCCGAAAGAATACTCGATCCCCTCGATCTCCACTCCTGTGTGGTAGAGGCCGCAGCAGGGGTTCTCCTGCGGCACCAGGTCATACACTGCACAACAAACACCACCAGCCTCCGAAACGTCGTGATGCTCCTCGCACCTGCTTTCTCTGTGTGCGTCCTACCATTGAGCTTCAGGACTATCGGTGATCCTTGACGAGGCATTATGCTGCTCCTTACGTGTCAGATGACGTCGATTTGTCGTTATCTCTTCTCTCCATGCTTATTCTATCTGGGTTTTTGACCCTTCAAACCCTGCTGCTCCGAAACCCTGCACACACTTTTCGCGTGGTGGGGTTCATTGCAAAAACGGCCGGACAGCATTCATTCTGTAGTGCATGCATGTCTGAAGTGTGCATGTCTTTCCAAGAGGTATACAGGCGCACGCCCACGCAGCCATCCCGTCTCCTTCCACTGGCACCCACATCATGCAGCAAGCAGCCCGTCCAACACTCTCACTCCCCCCTCAGTCATCGAATCGTGCGGTGATTTGGAGCGTCTGCCGCACCCCCTGCACATTGGTCAGCAGCGCCTGCAGGTCCTCCTCGATGTCACCACCACCACCACCATAACCCCTCAACAGCGGCTGCTGATGCTGATGCTGCTGCTGCTGCACACCCGGCCCCCGAGAAGACACCGTCACGCCTGCCATGTGCAGCGCCTTGCCGCGCCCCACACCCACACCCACACTCTTCCCTTTGGTGGGACTTCCCCGTACCAAGCCTCTCCCACCAGCACCGCCGGCGGCAGACACGGCACTCTTCACCGACGGCGGCCGACTCCCCTTCGGGCGGACAGCTATTTGTGAAGTGCCGCCGATGACTTTCCGGCCAGTGAGGGACTGCTGCGACGTCTGCTGCGCCTTGGGGCGTGCTACTGTGGGCGACGGGGGGTGCGTGGCGCTGCCCGCTCTGGATGAGGGTCGTGAGATGGAGTTGGCTGCAGATGGGTTGAGTGAGGGAAGCGGGCGCGGCTGCATGGGCAGCTCGTCTGACGGCCGACAGATGGGCGAGGGCGGCGGCTGGTGCTGCTGCTCCTCCTCCTCCTGGCCCCCTTCTGGATGATGGTTGTCGAGACACAGCGTCGCATATGCCCGGCCGTGGAAGAGGATAGGCTCGGGCCCTTCCGCAGCCACATGCTGTTGACCCTCGATGATGAGCTCCTCTGATCCCCCTCCCTCTCCCTCCGCAGCATGCCCCTCTTCAATGGCCGGGTTGATCTCGATTGAGTCCCCTCCTGCAGCAGGTGGGTCGTCCATGAGTGAGCACGACAGCGCACCGCCGGTGCCGTCATCGAGTTCGAGTGGCGCGCCGAAATGAGGGGTGGGGGCGTGGGGAGGGGGGTCGAGGGGTGGCTCGGTGTAGGCAGGTTCCTCTGGTGTCTGTGTGTGCTGTCTTGTGGCCTGCAGCGCCGCCTGGAGGGTGGTGGCGAGCTCGCGCTGCGTGTCGATGGTCCTGGCTTGGGTGAAGACGGTCTCAGACAACTGAACACATCGAGGGTAGCATTGCACAACAATGCCACACACAACAGACACAGGGGAGTGAGCGAGTTGGTGCACGCGTCAGGCTGTCTGCTGGTGGGGTGGTGTGGGTGGGATTCCCACCTCGTCTATGCGAGCGGCTTGTGTGGCCCGCTCAGCTTCCAGCGTGGCCTGAAAGGGAGACGACGGACGCCTTCCTTGGCTGGCACTCTGTGTGTGTGTGTGTGTGTTGCCTGCCTGCAGTTGTTCGATCTTCTGGGTGGCTTCCTGCTGCAGCTGCCTTGCCTGCCGCTCGGCATCTCTGAGCTGCTTGACGCGCGAACGCTCGTTGGCCTCTGCTCGATGCAGCCTGGCCTGCACACGCATCCACCCAACAGACAGACACAGAGAGAGATGAACACACACACGCATGAAGACGCATGAGGGCTGTGAGTGCGTGCCTGGAGGTCCCGTATGCGGGCGTTGAGTTTGTCCTGGATGGATGTGCGCTCTGTGAGCTGTGCGGCCATACTCCGCAGCTCCCTCTGCAGGGAGGTGTTGGTGCTCACGGCATCGGTCTTCTGACGCTGGAGCTCACGCACCTGACGGACCAATCCGTCCGTCCATCCATCCATCCATCCACACACACAGAGAAAGCGAGAGGGATGTGTGCAGAGAGAGAGAATGAGAGCTATGCAGGGATTCGGATTCTTACCTTGGTCTGCAGCTGTGTGGCCGACTTCTCCGTCTGTTTAAGGCGTTCCGCAATGTCGACCCGCAGCTTCTGTTTCTCGCCCTGGCTGGCCTCGAGCTGCCGACGCACATCCGACAGATCCTCCTCAAACCTAATGAGCGAGCGCATTGGTCGAAGGCAATACAACCACACTCGCAGACACGGTCGGCTCACGAAACAAGTGCCAGCTTGCTGACTTTTTGCGTGCCTCGTCGGCCTGGTTCTTCTGGTTGGTCATTTCCTGGGCCTCGGCCGTCTTGGCGGCGATGGCCTCCCTCGCCGATGACACCTCTGCCTCTAGCCGATCCTGGATGGATAAAGGTGAAGTGATGGTTAGCTAGCACGGGCTACGACTGTGAGGATGGATGTGCAGTGCGTGCCTTCATTTGGGTGAACTGGCTGTGTATCTGGGACCGGAGCTCCTCCAGCTGTTTCTTCAGGGTCTCGGAGTCGGCATGGCGGACTTTATCTGATATGGTGTGAGTGATTGTTAAGAGGCAGTCACACCACCAGTCGTCAAGAGGTTTCCTTGTCTCTGTGTGGTGTGCGTGTGTGCGTCTGGATTCCCTAACCTGCGTCATCGGTTAGGTGGCAGAGCTGCTGCTCCAGGCTGCGGCAGCGCTCCTCCAACTCTGAAACACACACATGACATCAAAGCTTGTTGCTCAGGGAAGGACTCGATCCGTGTCTGTCTGTCTGTCTGTCTGTCTGTCAGTACCTACCTTTGCACCTCCGGCCCCTCTCCTCGGATATCTGAGCAGCCGCCTGGAGGGACGTCAGCGCCTGGACGAAAAGGCAAATCAAGGGAATGCCATCAATGGCTGGCCTCTTGTTGCGTACCTGCAAGAGCTTCTGCGTCTGCTCCTCCAGCGACCCATCCCCATCCCCACCGCCACCAGCACCAGCACCAGCACTCCTGCATCAAACAACATGAAAGTGCTTTACTGGCAGGTGATAGATGTACTGTGGTTGTGTTGTGCCCACCCTTTATCGTCAGTGGTCTGGCCCTGCGATGGCTCGAGTGACCAGATGTTGAGCAGGTGCTGCAGCCCACTGAGGATCTCCTTCACCCACTGATCGACAGAGCTCCCCAGCGGCGTGTCGGGTGGCGCGGCGCTCTGCAGCCTCCGGAACTGGGAGGCCAGCCGGCGGACCGATGTCTGCAGACTCTTGCTCCTACACACACATATGCCGACACACAACGGCTGCCTGAAGTGTGTGTCGTCTGTTGGTGCGTTTGGTGTTACTTGACGGCGAGCTCCTGTTCCATCTGGGCAAGGGAGTCGCGGAGGCTGACATCAGTAAGACACACGCAGAGAGAGGGAGAGGGAGAAAGTGACACAGTGCCCGCAGCCTGCGTTGCGTTGGGTGACTCACCAGTCGAGTGAGTGTCCGGTGGAGTTGCGCTGCTCCTCGCTGGCCGCCTGGTGCTCATCCAAAGCCCTATAGACACTCACACAGAGAGAGATGCATCTATGTCTGTTCGAATGCCGACATTCTCTCTCATTGTCTGCCGTACTTCTGCAGACGTTCGTTGTCTTGTTTGAGCTGGGCGGCGTCCATCTCGGCCTTGTCGCGGTCACCCAGCAACCGCTGCAACTCTACCTATGGGTGGGTGCATCAACCACACAGAACACTGAAGCGTTATCTGCCTCATCCACTCACTCACTCAGGCCATCTCACACCTTGGTCTCGTTGAGCGCGTTGGTCGCCTCACCTGCGGCCGTCCGATGCCGCTCTGATGGCCAGAAATGGAGTCCGTCCGTCAATCACACCGAATCGATCCATTTCGTCCACCGTCATGCATGTCACCTTATGTGTGCTTTGGTTTGCGTTGCCTTGCCCACCTGCTTCCTTTGCGTTGTCATCGGCACGGCAGCGGGCGGTCTCCAAGGCCTCGCGAGCACTGATTGACGGATGAGTGATGCATACCACCAAAAAAAGCAAAGGACAACCAGCGCCACCACTACATGCATCCCTTCCAACACATTTTGCTGACCCTTCGCCCACCCACCTCACCTCCTGAGTTCCTGCGTCACCGACTGCAGGGCGTTGATGGTGTCCATGCTGTAGACCAGCTGATGATGCCGCGACGATTTGGTCCCGCCGTGCAGCGCAGAGGACGATGAAACAGATGACGACAGCGGGCTGTTTGGCTGAGGGAGGCTTCTATCGCCAGTTGGCGGGCTCAGCCGAGCGCCTGCTGCTGCCGATGGTGCTGGTGCCGCAGATGCATCGGCGATGAATCCTCGACGGCCGAAGTGGGGAGTGGTGTTGTGCGATTGGGGTGGGCTCCTGCTCTTGTCCGATAAGGCTACGATAGACATCATTCATCTGCACGCTCAAAACGTGTAACTTGTCGCCGCTCTAACGCAACAACGCGACACGTGTTTGGATGCTCTGAGGCCTTCGGATCTCGCACCGCGCTGCTATCATGGCTGCTCCTTTGCTCGTTGCCGCCACTATCCTGGCAATCGGTGAGTCGGGCAAAGGCGAAGATCTGTCTCACCTGTCGCAGCACCAGATCTGTGGCTTGTTCTCCCTTGATCAGTGCTGGTCTCAGAGGCGTCGATCAAGTACCACCACCGCCATCATGGCGGCAAGCATCATGGCTACGGAAGCAAGACCATTACGCAGGGGTGCCCTCGGCTTTGCGACTGTGAGACGGACTGTCCTAGCAATGGCGGTGGGCGGCAGCTCAAGGGCAAGAAGCATCATCACAAGAGCCACCACAAGAGCCACCACAAGAGCCACCACAAGGCCGTCAACTACGGCAAGTGTCCCACTGAGTGCATCTGCGAGTTGGAGTGCAAGGACGGCGGCGGGATTGTCAAATGCAAAGAGACCGCTGACTGCCCCAAAGGCCTCGTGTGTGTGGATGGAAAATGTTCGTGAGAGGGGGGGAAGGACACAAAGAGACCAACCACACTGATCCATTCACCGCTCACAAACACACACACACGTGTCTCTGTCTGATGTGTCTGTTGTGGATGCGCCTCTGGGTGTGGTTTGCTTCTGTATGTGCAGGTGTGGCTGAAGGCGGCCCGACCGACTGTGTGGCTTTGGGCGGGGAGTGCTTCAGCCAGTCCGAGTGCTGCTCCGAGACATGCAACCTCTTCACAGTCCCTGTCCTGATGGGCACGTGCGCCTCGCCCAACTGCTGCGTCGACCCCCCGGATCCGTGTGTTATCGTGCCCGATGGCAACAACGTCCCTTGCTGCGCCACGGGTGTTGAGCCGTCTGTCAAGTGCGATGTGCGCCCCTGTAACGGCAACGTCGGCTGCTCTGACGGCGGGTTTTGCATCGATGGCTTCTGCAACCCAGCTCTCAAGGATTGCTGCGGGTTTCCTGGGTTGCCGATATGCCCTGGCAAGGATTGCGGCTCGGATGGTGCCCTCCCCTGTCTGGACTGCTGCACCAGCGAGGCGGCCCTGGTGGATGGCCTGCCTGTGTGCCCTGGGCCGTGCGGCATTGTGGACTCCGACGAACCTGGTGTGGCGGAGTGCTGCTTCTCGGACATTGACTGCGCGGGAGAAGCCATTGCGCCCCGGTTTTGCAACGCCGAGAACCAGTGTAAGAGGATGATTGTGACTTGTGTACTCGTGTGGCTGGTATGCATGTCTCATCTGGCTCCGGTGTGATCAGGTGAGGTCTCGCCAGGACCCGAACCAGAACCCGAACCAACACCCTGAGCTGTGGTTGGTGTAATTAATTGCGAGGCTCTCTGAACTTGACGCTCATACGTGAATTTCTTCGTTAAATGAATGAGCGGTGTGTGGTCTTCTGGTTAGTGTCGTTGCGGCACGTAGGTGTAGACGCATGTCAGCCGGTCAAGGCAGACAGACAGACAGACAGGGAGACAGACAGGGAGACATGCAGAGAAATGTGGCGTCGTGTGCCTAATTAGCGGTGTGTGTATGTGTGTGTGTGTGTGTGTGAGGGTGGGAAGATTGGTAGACAGGCCGGAATTGCTGGATGAATGATGAGGCGCGGGTGAATGAGCCACCTGTGTTTGCGGTGCACGGTGCTTCTGACTACCCACGCCTATTATTAGTTGAGTTGAGTCCTGACTGACATGAGCTAACATGAGCTAAGAGAGGGTGACTTCGATGATCGTTCAAGTATGACCATTGGATGAGCTGAGCACTCATGCAGCTGACAAGCACGAGAATCCCGCGCATGTCCTCATCCATCCATCCATCTGGCTCTTCGCATACACAGTTAACATATTCAATTTTCACCTGCGAAGACAGTCCTCTGGGTTGTTCCGTCTCGTCGGCCCGATACCCAACCCGCCCGAACTTGAGCACACCACGAGTCAGCGTGTGTGCTCGACTTCAGATGGGCTTGGCACCGTGACAAGACTGACGGGACAACACACGCATCCATCAACACACACACACACACACGCCATCAGGTCATCCCGGCTCCCTTGGCCACGTCATGGAGTCTGTCTGTCGACTCATCGCCATCCACGCAAAAGCAGTACACGTGCGTTGTGTGCCGGACTCGAAAAACCAGACTCCATGCCCACGTCAAGCTTCAGCAAGAATGGGCACCTCTGCTGGACTGACTAAATGCCTCAGTGAGCCCGACACACACACACCACAAAAAAGGGCGACCGGCCGCCACCAATCTATGCACAACCCCCCCACGGCAAAACACGGTACCTTCCTTCGTCCATTCATTGATTCACTCAGCCGCCAGGTCAGCCACAGTGGGCTGCAAGGTCCTGATGAGATCGTCCACGGCCATCCTCAGCACCAGCTGGCGGCTCCCCCCATTGATGTACACGAGCTCCATCTCTCGGATGCCCTCCTCCATGTACACCGCCATTGCCTCCCGGGTCCCGAAGGGGCTTGTGCCGCCGAAGTCGTACCCAGTGAAGCGTGCGGCCATGTCTGCGTCGGCCGGCTTGACGTTCTTGACGGACGCGCCGAGCTCTCTGGCGAGTTTCTTCTTGTCCACCTGATTGATGCGCACAACCGAGTCAGAGGCCAAACGCACCCATCGTATTGGGGTGTGCGCGTGTACTGTTGCTCTCTCTTTCCGTCTGTGACTGACTGACCGACCTGTTTGTGTCCGTGCATGAGCACCAAGCAGGGAGAGTCGACACCGTACTTGAACACCATCGTCTTGACCAGCTTGTCGGGCTCGGTGTTCATCTGCCGCGCAAGCACATCGCACAGGCTCTCGCCGCCATCGGGCTTCTCATAAGTAACGGAGATCTTCTCGAACGGCACGTTGTGCTCACTCAGGTAAGCCGTGGCGGCCGTCGAGGTGCCCTCCGCGTCTGATGCCGCGCTTGACTCTTCCAGTGAGCCCATTTCTCATCGCAGCAGAAATTTCACGGTTTACCCTAGCGTCAGAATATGCGAGCTTTCGAGGTTTTTCTGCCGCGCCCGCGCTTCAACCGGCCCTCAGCAGGCTTCTGTCTTCCGTGCTGACTAGGGATCTGTGCAGATACAACCCCTTGCCTTCTCAGTTTGCTTTTTCGGCCCAGTGCTGCTGCACAACACTGCCAAGGGCCTGGCTGTCGTCTCTCACACACCTGAATCGCCCATCTGCCTTCCTGGTATGCATGCGTGTGGACACGGAAAGGGAACGAGGACACGAAAATGGACGCATATGTGCGTCGTCGATGTGCTGTTGTGGTGTGGTATGGCATGGCAGGTTGTTTTTCGCACTCTTCTGTCGCCTCGCTGTTCCGTTTGGGTGCGCTGTACAATACTATCTGGTTGGCAAGCGCACACACTGACTGGATGGCTGGCTTATGAGTGTCCATCGTGTTGGTGGTGTTGTGTGTGTTGGTGGCAGGTTGGTTTTCGCACCCTCCGTCGTGTCGCTTTTCGTTCGGGTGCACTTTTGCCATCACTTTCTGGTGCGCATCAAGGCAGACAGACAGACAGACAGACAGACAGAAAGACAGACAGGCATCAGACACACCGACCACACACACCACACTGTCTGTGTGGCTGCCTGGCTGTGCATGCGATGTCCTCAGACGTGGTATGTGCTTTTGCGGGTCGTCTGCGAGTTTGGCAGCGGCAGTTCCCTGCCTTGTCAACGCTCACAGCGCCCCTTGGTTGAGCTCGCTGCATGACCGGCACTGTCTGAGGACTTTCACGACAGACGTTCATTCATTCAATCGCTCTCCCTCCCCACGCTTGAGTCAACCTGTGTTGATCTAGACCATCTCCTTCGGATGGTCTGAGCAGAGCACAAGAAAGCTCCTGTCTTCCGTGCTGAATAGGGATCTGTGCAGATCTACCCAATCGTTATGATTGTGGCCAGCGGCCCGCTGCTTTTCTTCGTGGCTGCTGCTCATCATCAACACGACGCCTTCATCCCCCTCGCACAGCCGCTGACCAGCAGCCAACGGATTCGGCAACCGAGAAAGCAGCGACTCATTGACAGAGCCCTCCCGCGCCTTTCCAGCATCGCTGCAGCCAGTGCAGATGAGTCAGCCTTTGAAGTGGCAGCCAAGACGGACCACTTCCGTGTCCTCATTGTCCCATCCGAGGCCCCTTCATCTGACGTGCCGGTGCCTCTAGGTGGCCAGCTGCAAGACATTCATCTGCGTCTGCATGACGGCTGGGGCACCGGAGCCCATCCATCCACCCGCCTATGCATGGAGTTCTTGGAGCGGCGTGTCAGGCGCGGCGACGCTGTGCTCGACTACGGTGTGGGCTCAGCGATCCTGAGCGTCGCTGCGGCCAAGTTGGGGGCGTCGCATGTGCTGGGTGTGGACATTGACGACGACATCCTGACCAACGCCCGTGAGAACTGTCGGCTCAACGGTGTGGACGGATGTGTGGAGCTGATGCACACGCGGGAGGTGGTGACGGGCGACACGGCGATCTCAGGCCGCTTCGACGGGTGTGTGGCCAACATCTTGGTTGGCCCGCTGAAGCGGCTGGCTCCCGCGCTGGGCGATGCTGTGAGGGCAGATGGGTGGCTGTGTCTGTCGGGCGTACGGCCCAGCCAGGTGGACGACGTCATGCAGGCGTATAATGTGTTCTATGACTTTGATCACAAGGCCGTCCGGACGGGTGTGCATGACGTGTACGGGGAGTGGGCGTGTGTGGTGGGGCGGAGGAGAGAGAGGGGGGAGGGGGAGGCGCGAGAGAGGGAGTATATGAGTGACCTTGCCGTGTCATGAACTGAACGGTGGACGGAACGTGTGAAGGAAGCGAGCGGATTGAGGACAGACAAGCATTCACTGAGAAAAGTTGTGTGTGTCAGTCACTGTTCATCTGTGGGAACCCGCAGACGCACGCGAACACGCACGTCCACAAACACGCACCTGCGCACACAAATACTCACAGTGCATGATGGAGTATGCCGAACGTCCTTCGCAGGCTGCCTGGACCCCTCAGTGCTGCACGGCTGCAACATTCGCATCAAAACAATCTTGCGTCGGATTTGAAACCGACGTGGGAATGTCAGATGCCGCCGGTACAGCCGTGCAGCACTAGGGTGTCCAGCCAAGCCACCAGGCTCACATAGCATGGTCGGTGCTGGCCTGGCTGTCGTGTTTGCTTGATTCAGGAGTGGTGATCTGATCTATATGTTGTCTCCCGCACCACCCATACAGAATGCATGATCTGTATGTATCGACAAGAGCAGCGGCGGGCGCAGCGCTCCACCCCCCACCTGTCTGCCCCCCCCTCCCCTCCCCTCCCATGCGGCGAGACTGACTGTATCTATGCACACAGACACACAAAACAGTCCGGGGCCACAGATGGATGGCCAGTCAGGGGCGGCACTGCACACCCTTAAAACCCCCTTGTGCTGGGGTTGATGTCTATGGTGTGGCCACAAATCCTCTCCCCTCGCCCTCCACCCATCCCCGGCAGGCCATCCTATGCTACAGGTGTGGACGCTACGCTACGCCTTTCCGGCTCGCCGGCCTCCCCGCCCCCCGGCCAGCCATTGAAAAAGGAAACACAACAAACCCACAGACAGACACACAGACAGATGGACAGACAGACGGGCAACCCAGAAAACCCGCACATATCGGTGTGCCGGGGGAAAGATCAGACGGACAGAGAGATCGAGGCAGAGAACTAGAGGCGATAGGTCACTTGGAGACGGTCCTCTCGCAGGCCACCGAGTGCTGCATCGTCTGAAGGAACCGACCAATGGCAGACAGACAGACAGACAAGGAGAGAGATGTGTGTGTCGAGAGCGGGCAGTGCACTGTGGGCACGCCTCCCTCCCTCCCTCCCTCCCGGCCTTGATGACGGTCTGGCTTACCATGACGACGGCCTGGTTCATGTCTACGGGCACCTGTGTGGCCATGATAAAGTCCTCCAGCACCTTGGTCTTGTAGTCATCCAAACGGCCCTGCTTCACAGACCTACACACAACACACACACACACACACATGAGTCTTCCCCCCCTTGTGCCTCCCTCCCTCCCTCCCTCCCTCTGTCCCTCTGTCTGTGCAGCCCTGGGCACTTACATGAAGTTCCATATGACGGCCATGCTGCCTGTGGACGTGATGATGCCGTTCTCCTCCCCATCTGCTCCGTATGAGAAGTGCGCGGGGGTGAAGCAGACGTCGGTGAGCTTGTAGCGGATCCAGTCCTCGTTCTTGAGGGACAGCTTGTAGGGCCGCGGCTTGAGCTTCCCCAGCGACTTCTGGAAACCCGTCTTGTCGCTGTCGCGCAGCTTCACCGGCAACACCACCAGGTAGTGATCAGTCGTACCTGAATCGATTCAACACACACGCAGCGGGAGGAGGAGATGAGATGTCAGACATGCTTCCCTCCCTCGCGGCCTTCCTCTCCCTCTTTCTCTATTCTCTCACCGACAATCCAGTGTCCGTCTCGCGTGGCCGTGACGGCCGTGAGCGGGTCCCCCAGGCCGGACACGAGCGTCTTTGCGATCTTGTACTTGCCGTCGCGGTTGGGCTTGCCGTCGTAGAGGCGGAATTCGCCCATTTTGTTGCCCAGGACGATCTCCTCATCCTCAGTCGTCGCCCCGCAGGTGAACTGGGGGTTGCTGGCGTAGGTCAGGGTGTGCTGCCGCGGCCGGGGGCCGACCTTGGTGTCCAGCTTGAAGAAGGCACGCGAGCTGTGGCCCACCAGGTGCTGGGTGCCGCGCTTCTCGGCGCCCTTGTAGGACGGCATGACGTTGTGCATCTGACAGACAGACAGAGGGGGG